CAGATGACTGTGGTTTGATTTTTGTCCGACTTGCCATGACCGAAATGCTGCCAGACTGCCGAACTGCAAAAACCCTTCTTTGGAACAATTTCCTCCGCCTCTCCTTGCTGCGACATCTTCATGTGCTCTGTGTTGTGGTTTGAGAGGGCGTCACTTTGTGACGGCGTGCCCGGGTCCGCGATTGTGATTGGTTGGGAGGAAGCAGTGACTAGCATAAACCTACATGCTAGGCTACAATGAGAAGGAAAGAAAACTGCGTTTCTATTTTATCGAACTTTTATCGACTCTCTTTTTTTCTATTGCGCCACATGTCTATCGATCGATATATATCGTTATTGAATTATTGCCCAGCCCTAGCTGTAACAATTATTAGTTCCCTCCTGACAGCAGACCACTTAAAAACAATGTTGCAAACAGACCTTGGGGTGATACGCCACATCGTGGGTAAATGTAATTTCAATGAAAATCTGCTATCCAGCCAAGAGTTTTCTGCATGTCTAAAAACAGTACTAGGCAATGTATTTGAGGAATGGCATATTTTGAGCAAGAGGTCATTCAGGCTCGGCACGATGGGAAACAAAGCTGTGGAGTCAGACGTGAAGAAAAACAAACAAACAAAAAAAAAAAAAACAAAGCACCAAAATTAAGTTACAGACAAGCAGCTATTTCTTAGTTCTGTTCCACCCTTGTATCTGCAAGGCCTCTGCAGCCATATTCGACGTAACACCAAATCTCTGGATAATGTTTGGTGGTACGCCTACAATGAAAGCAGAGCTGTTATTGACTTGGAGTAGGGATCAAAACAAAGTTTCGCACCAAACAGGAAAAAGAACGGCAAGAAGATCCGGTTCGTTAAATTAAAATATAGTAACGACAGATCGGTAACTACAATTTAGAGCATAATTCCTATATATTCACAAAAACTAAGACCTTTTAATTGAATGATTGGATGCAAACTATTGGTACTTCAACATACCCAGAAGCAGATTTCTCATCTCTATCAAAATATTTATTTTATAAAGAGAGGTTTAAAAGTTTCATCAAATCCAGTCAAAACAACCTCTAAGAGCGCCTCTCACAACTTCAAAAGAAACTTCTTGTCGCAGGAATGGGTGAGGAGATGCTGAGTTTGGAGGTAGAGAACAAGCATAGTTCATACAAACCAATTTTATATGATCCTAGTTAACCCTGTTACAAAAATCCACAACCAAAAAAAAAAATATTTGGGCAGAAACTGAAAATAGGCTGGATGCTGATGGGGATTTTTTTATATGTCATATTAAATTAAACATTCATTTCTGCATGTTTTGCTCCTATGAATTTAATAATAATAAAGTTGCGCATGCTCTCCTGGAGCTCTGAGGAAGTTCTAGAGAAGCAAGCCCGGAAGAATCGCGGAGGTTGTAGGCTTTGCTTTGCGCAGGTGGTCTGAAGCTCAGCGGGGTGGTTACAGAGGATGTGGGATTTCGGTGTTAGACTCTCTGACCAGCAGCAAGCCCCTCCACCTGCCCTGTCTCTGTTATCTATTGGGATGGTTCTCACTTCTCAAACTCACGCTGTCCCCCGCCCCACAAAGCTGCGACAGGAGAATTGCTATGCTGTCCTCCTTTCTCTCCATCAACCAAGCTCCCCGCCTCAGTGGCCATCCTGCTCTGCTCCGTCTTTCAACCTGCACCTGGACCTCTGCCATCTTTCTGCTTTTTTGGTACTAGGCTCAAGTATTTCTGTAAAAGAAGGTGTTTTTTCCCCCTTACTCTAACTAGCGGATGCTATACTTTAAAATCAAACCATTTTATGTTGGGGTGGGGGGAGTTCAAATGGCCCCTTATTTAAAGAAAACATATTACCTGATGCAGTTATGTATGTGTGTATATATATATATATATATATATATATATATATATATATATATATATATATATATATATATATATAGTCACTCTAATATTAAATATTTTTATCACAAATATTTTCCTTCACCACTCCAAAGAAGCCGCAGTGGTGGGCCTATGCATCCTCTTCACATCAACATGCCTCTAACAATGGGGGTTTCTGTCTTAACTAGGATCAAGAGGGCAAACTTAGACAGACCTAACATCAATGTCCTGCAGAAAAGTGCATACCTGTAAGTTTATGCACCCCGGGAATGTGCATTGCTCATAACAACCTCATATTTACTAAGAAAAATGGGTTAAAATGTGACTTACGGAGCCATTTTCTACCTCATAATCACAATGCTTATCCCTTTACATTGAAGAAAATAAGTATTTGAACGTTCTGCTATTTTGCAAGTTCTCCCACTTAGAAATCATGGCGAGGTCTGAAATTATCATCGTAAGTGCATGTCCACTCTGAGAGACTAAATGTAAAAAAACAAACAAAACAAACACACCAGAAATTATAATATATGATATATTTTTAACTATTGTATGATTCAACTGCAAATAAGTATTTGAACACCTGTCTATAGTATCAGCTACAATTCTGACCCTTAAAGACCTGCTAGTCTGCCTTCAAAATGTCCACCTCCACTCCATTTATTATCCTAAATTAGATGCACCTGTTTGCGGTCATTAGCTACATAAAGACACCTGTTCCCCCCATTAAATCCATAAGAATCCCAACTTCTAACATGACCAAGACCAATGAGCTGTCCAAAGACATTAGAGACAAAATTGTACACCTTCACAAGGCTAGAAAGGGCGATGGGGAAAGTGGCAAGCAGCTTGGTGAAAAAAGGTCAGCTGTTGGAGCAATCATTAGAAAATGGAAGAAGCTAAACATGACTGTCAATCTCCCTTGGACTGGGGCTCAATGCAAGATCTCACCATGTAAGATCTCAATGATTCTATGAAAGGTGAGAAATCAGCCCAGAACTACATGGGAGGAGCTGGTCAATGACCTGAAAAGAGCTGGGACCACCATTCACAAGGTTACTGCTGGTAATACACTAAGACCTCATGGTTTTAAATCATACATGGAATGGAAGGTGTTTGAAGTATATTTTGGTCATAATTCCAATAACCTTGTTTGGAGGAAGAAGAATGAGTACCATCCCAAGAACACCACCCCTACTGTTAAGCATGGGGATGGTAGCATCATGCTTTGGGGGCGTTTTTCTGCACATGGGATAGGGCGACTGCACTGTATTAGGATAAGATGACAGAGGCCATGTATTGTGAGATTTTGGGGAACAACCTCTTTTCCTCAGTTAGAGCA